ACCTAATAAAAGAATAAAGAAAAATAAAAGAAAAATAAAGTTTCTTGAGAACTAGGACAAAGCAAAGATGTCATAGGTGATATCTTAAATTATATGGGAGTTAAAACTAGTATCAACTCTTGAAGTTAGGAAGAAGGGGGCCTAATACCACTTAGCATCTGAATGCTAAATGCAGCAAGACTTGGCCACTGAAGACTGACTAAGCTGTGGTTGCCTAGGAAATAGTTTATGGGGCTTTATTGAATAAAGGGAGAGTTCTAGTTTCAGAAATGGTTAAGACATTTCCATTTCTTCTGTCTTGATAATCACACACCAAACTAGAGGGACTTTGAACAGAAGCACACACTCCATCTATGGTGAAATTAATCTACAATCCTTCACCATAACATTTGAAGACAAAAAGTAGACCTAGGATTCTAGGATTGGCAAATGACTTCATAGAGTGGAAGATGACCACTTCTAAGTGTCTACTGGGGAGGAAGGGGGATACTAGTGGAGTGTGAGACAGTTATCCTGTGGAACCCCAGAAAGTCTTAGGAATTGGGCTACCAATTACAGTGAGCCACTGAGTTTGAAATGGATATAAAATATAATTATACCAGTTCCTTATCATCAGACCCCCTCACTCAGAAAACAAAGTAGATGCTCTGGACAATCTTGGGTTTTAGTGACTTTTCGGACAAGGATGTGGAGGAGTGGAGTGAGGGCACAGAGATATGACTTTGTATCACACAAGATGAAAAGTTGCCTCTAGAAAAAGAGGATTCTTGAAGAACTTTACTTTGAGTGAAAGATTGAATTTGGCAGAACATCCAACAAGCCTGGCCACTAGCAAAAGAAAACAAGGAAATTTGTCTGTCTTGGCTTGGACCCTGGCTGAAAAAATGATCTCTCCTACCTGTAATCCCTGCTGCAACTACCTTGCCATTTTAGTGCAGAAGCAGCCACAGACTACATATAAATGAATTACAGTGGCTCATTAACTGGCTGTGTTCTAGTAACCTTCATTTATAAACCATGAAATTAGAAATTTCATGTTTTTCATATATCATTAAATATTGTTTTGATTTTTTTCTAGCCATTTAAAAATGCAAAACCTGATCTTTGCTAAGTGACCATATAAAAAGAGACAGCAGGCTCGATTTGACCTGTGGGGCTAGTTTGCTGATCATTAATCTAGGATTTAAATAAATGTGTTAAATATTTAAGGATGAGAATTCACTCTTTTTCTTTCAAGAAAAAGAAGGCAAGAAAGAGGGGAAAAAAGAATAGATACAGTAAGACAAAGTTCAAAATAATATATTAGAAACAAATTAGTAATTATATTGAATGTAAATGGACTGAGTTGACTGGCTGAAAGATTGCTAGAATGGATTTTTTTTTTCTAGGATGGATTTTTACAAAATCCAAATATATGTTAACTAATTAATTTTTAAAAAGATTTATTTGAGGAACAGCATGTGTGTCCCTGCATGCAGGGGGAGGGGCAGAGGGAGAGAATCCCTAAGCAGACCCCCCACTGAGCATGGAGCCCAACGCTGCCCATCCCATGACCCATGAGCTGAGATCAAGCCAAAACCAACTGAGCCACCCAAGTGCTCCCAAATGTATTTATTTTAAAAGAGGATACCCTCCCCCAAAAAAGAGACATACCCTAAACATAAGGATACATTAAAATTCAAAGTAAAAGAAAGGAAAATGTTATACTGAGACAATGCTTTAAAAAGAAAAACTGATGTCTTTTTGACAACATATATTTTAAGTAGAACTTCATTGTTTAAGAATTAGTGAATTACATGATGATAAAAGGAAGCTTTTTACTAAACCAGGAAGATATGATAATTTTAAACTTGCATGTACCTAACAATATACATGTACCTGACAGCAAAGATAGCTACATAGCAAAATTTGGTAGTAGAACTTAAAGAACTGCAAAGAGAAGTTGATAAATGTACTATTATGCCAAAATACTTAAACATAAGTATTTGAATAATTGAGAGAACAGGAAGATAAAAACTTACTAAGGATACAAAAGATTTGATTCTAACAATTAACAGGCTTTTTCTGTTGGACATATAGAGAACCCTGTATCCAACAATTGATTAGATAAAAATTCTTCTCAATTTTATTGGGAAATTTTATTAAAATCAATCACATACTAGGCTAAATAGCAAGCCTCATCAATGTCAAAAATCAGTATAAGACAAAAAAAATCAGTATAAGACAAATTAACTTAGATAGCAAAAAAGAATCATAACAAAAATTATTTAAACTTAAGACTATAATGAATATACATGCAGGCAATATTTGTGGACTGCTGCTAACGTGGTACTCAGAGGCAAATGTAGAATCTTAAGTTATTTACTAAGATAAAGGTCTGAAAGCTAAGGAGTTAGGTAACCAACTTTAAAATCTGGAAAAGAATAAAAACATTTTTTTAAAAAAAGAACATAGCATTATAATTTTAGATAAATTATTCCAGAGAGAAAAAATATGCTGTGGCTCATTTTAGGAGGCCAGTGTATTCAGACGAGTATGTTATGAGAGTGGAAAATTTATTGGCTCTTTTCATTTATGAGTATGAATTTAAGTGGGCACCTGGGTGGCTCAGTCAGTTAAGTATCCGACCGTTGGTTTCAGCTCAGATTGTAGTCTCAGGATTGTGAATTCGAGCCCTGCACCCAGCTCCATGCCCAGTGCAGAGTCAACTTCGGGTTCTCTCTCCCTCTGCCCCTACCAGTCATGCACTCTCTCTAAAATAAGTAAGTAAATACGTCTTTTAAAAATATATTAGGGAACCAAATCCAACAATTAAAATCGTAGAAACACTATAACCAAAATAGGATTTATTCTTACATTGCAAGCAGGTTCAACTATCAAAAAGAAGCCAATTTCCGAATCTATAAATTAAATGCAATTCCAGTGAAAATCCCAAAAGTGTTTTTTAACAGAACTGGACAAGCTGACTTTAAAGTTTTATAAAAGAGTGAAAAGCCAAGGATAATTTTTTTAAAAAGATTTACTTATGTATTTATTCATGAGAGACACAGAGAGAGACAGAGACATAGGCAGAGGGAGAAACGGGGAGCCCGATGCGGGACTCCATCCCGGGATCCCGGGATCACGCCCTGAGCTGAAGGCAGACGCCCAACGGCTGAGCCCCCCAGGGATCCTGAGGCAAGGATAATTTTAAAATAAAAGAACAGTTTTGAAAGAGAACAAGGCCCTGAGGGGACTTCCCTATAGATGTTAAGACTTACTATGAAGTCTACTTATATCTTAAAAAGTGAAAGTGATTAAGACAATGCTTTAAGCTCTTTGTAAATTGGCAAATCTAGTTACTTTGAAGAGGTACATATTTTATGACTGATCAACTCACTCTTAACGATGTCTTTAAAATTCTGAGGAAGTAGAAAAGGTAGAATAAACATATTTTCTAAAAAAAAAAATCTATAGATATTTGCTTCCCATGCACTTTTGCTTTAGCGAAGTAAGGGAAGGAAACAAGAGAGAGGAAGTAGAACCAGGAAATGGGTTCAACACAGGAGAGTCTAAATAATGCCAGAGAGAAGTCACCAAACACCAGAACAGAAGGCCTAGAAAGGCAGTCTTTCAGCCTCAAATCTGCAGATTTGAGCAGATGTGTGACAGAGTCCAAGGAGAAAAGCTGAACTGCTGATAGGTGGTCTGATTCGTTTGACCATGTGGAGGCCTATATTGAAGGGTATCTTGTGGACGTCTTAAAGATTGTGAGAAGCCTTAACCACAGCGAAGAGTCGGTGTTTATAGCATCCCGGTGCCCAGCACAGTTGGCATTCAGAAATATTTGTTAAGTGAAGCATGTCCTCAAAAGTAGCAGAAACAAAATAGATTTAAAATGGGAAAGGAGAGGGATCCCTGGGTGGCGCAGCGGTTTGGCGCCTGCCTTTGGCCCAGGGCGCGATCCTGGAGACCCGGGATCGAATCCCACGTCGGGCTCCCGGTGCATGGAGCCTGCTTCTCCCTCTGCCTGTGTCTCTGCCTCTCTCTCTCTGTTACTATCATAAATAAATAAAAATTAAAAAAAAAAAAGAATATTTAAAAAAAAAAAAAATAAATAAAATGGGAAAGGAGAACCAGCTGGAACCACAAAGGGTGCCATGAAAATAAGAGGGTGAAATAGGTGATGAGGAATATTCGAAAACAATTTGATACAACATCTGGGAACAATTCTGTTGGGTTTGATGGTGGGAGATGTGTAACATAAGTGAGGGTCAGATAAGGTAGAGTTGTGGAGACCTTGAGTTCAGATGTTTTTAAATTAGGGCTGTTGCCAGCAACAGACTTCCCTCTTCCCTTCCCTTCCCTTCCCTTCCCTTCCCTTCCCTTCCCTTCCCTTCCCTTCCCTTCCCTTTCCCTTTTCCCTTTTCCCTTTTCCCTTTTTTCTAAGAATAATGCATTATATGTATTATTAATTTCAGAGGTAGAGGTCAGTGAGCAACAGATATTTTAGAGAACCTTCCAGTTATTTGATTCCAAACTGATAGCCAGGGTTATAATCCAGTTGGGCTGTTGATTTATCAGCTGATATTTAACAAGCTTTAAATGCCAGAAGCTGGGATTTTAATGATCAGCACAATCTGATAATGTCCCTGCCCTCTTATTCAGAATATTGAAAATATGGGGATATCCAGCCTGAGGCAACTTTTGAACCTGGATTTACTCTTACAAAACATCAGATTTGGAAATTTTCACTGACCCTAGAAATTGAAATTCATTGCTTTTCATTTCACCAGGAATTCCTACCTATCATAATAAGCTTTATTGGATATTTTTGTTATTAGAAACCTATACTATCTTGATAATTCAAATCTGCTAATCATTCTTCTTGGCCAGTGATCTCTACCTGCATCTTTTGCACAAGTGACCTGATAAACACAGAACACACCTCATCATAGTTCCTGTTCAGCGTGATCACGCATTGCTCTCTCTCACCTTCTTTTCTCTCTGTCCTTTTGCAGGGATTGTATTCGCACATTATGGTCCAGTCTGGAAACAACAGAGGAAGTTCTCTCATTCAACTCTTCGACATTTTGGCCTTGGAAAACTTAGTTTGGAGCCCAAGATTATTGAGGAGTTTAAATATGTAAAAGAGGAAATGCAGAAGCATGGAGAAGACCCCTTCAACCCTTTCCCCATCGTCAACAATGCCGTCTCTAACATCATTTGCTCCCTGTGCTTTGGCCAGCGATTTGATTATACCAATAGTGAGTTTAAGAAAATGCTTCATCTTATGTCACGAGCATTAGAAATCTGTCTGAACTCCCAGCTTCTCCTGGTCAATATATGCTCCTGGCTCTATTATCTTCCCTTTGGACCATTTAAGGAATTAAGACAAATTGAAAAGGATATTACCACTTTCCTTAAAAAAATCATCAAAGACCATAAAGAGTCTCTGAACGTAGAGAACCCTCAGGACTTCATAGACATGTACCTTCTCCATGTGGAGGAGGAGAGAAAAAATAATAGCAATAGTAGCTTTAATGAGGATTACTTATTTTATATCATTGGTGATCTCTTCATTGCTGGGACTGATACCACAACTAACTCCTTGCTTTGGTGCCTTCTGTATATGTCACTGAACCCCGACATACAAGGTAATTAACAACTGTTTCCTTTATTCAGACAAAGCCAGATTATTTAAATTCGTATCAGCAAATTGGGTGATCCTGTGGCTCCTAGCACAAAGTGATGTCTTCAGGCCAGAAAACAAAGTGGAAAGACTTGAATCTCATAGGGAGTCGTGATGGTGTTAACAGCGAAACTCTTAAGTTCCTAGACATTGGGACTAATGTCATACTTGCTTGCCTCTGCTTTAAATCTCTATGGGTCTGATGCTATGTGAAATGTACAATAGAGGAAGGCTTTTAGGGAAGGACAGTTTAGAGCTAATGGGAATCATAATGATTATCTGAACCCCGTCATCTTGTTTTGAGAATGGAGAACAGAGACCCAGAAAAGTTATGTGACTTTCACGAGATGACAGAGCCACTTCCACCACATTGATACCACTATGAACTGAGTGCCCAACAGTTCATAGTGGAAGACTGTAAAGGAGGGCAGTGTATTATTTTTCTGTTGCTCCTATAACAAATAACCACAAACGTAGTGACTTAAATCAACACAAATTTGTTATCTTAAAGGTCTGTGTCTCACTGGGCTTAAATAAAAATGTTGACCGGGCGGCATTCCTTTCTGCAGGCTCTAGAGGAGGATCCATTTCCAGCTGCCTTGGCTCTGGGCCCCCTTCCTCCTTTATCAAAGCCTGGGATGTTGCAGCTCTTCTGACCACTTTCTTCTACTCAGATCTTCCTCTGACACTAAACTGGGAAAGTTCTTCAGTTTGAAAACCCGTGTAATTAGTGCACACCCATAAAATCCAGGGTAATCTCCCCATTACATTGGCAGGTCTTTCTTGCCACATAAAGTAGCACATTCCTAGGTTCCAGGGGGTTGGGGTGTGAACATCACTGAGGGGCCATTTTCTGTCTGCCGTAAATGAGATTATGCTTACTGCATTTGTTAACTATTGATGAGTAACAAATTATTCCCAAAATTTAGCAGCTTAAAAAAAAACACCATTTGCTGTCTCACATAGTTCCTGAGGATCAGGAATCCAGAGGCAGCATAGCCTGGTTGGTCTGGCTTAGGCTTTCTCATGAAGTTGTCGTCAAGATGTGGGCTGGAGCTACAGTCACCTGCAGACTTGACAGGGACCAAAGGATCCACTTCCAAGATGGCTTGTCAGCTTGACTTTTAGCTGCAGGTCCCACCATTTGGAGTTTTCCATAAGGCTGCTGGACTTGGGGGCTGCTTGACTTGGTATTTGCCTTCCCCAAAAATGAGTGACCTGAGAGAGTAAGTACCAAGACAGGAGCCACAGTGTCTTTTATAACCTAAGCTCAGAACTGACATGCCTCTTTTCTCCTTTATTCTGTTGGTCACACAGACCGACTTGGTACAAGGTGGGAAGGGACTGTACAAGGATGTGAACACCAAGAGGCAGAAAACATTGGGGGCCATGCTGGGCTGTCACATAAAAGCTTAGAGTCAGTCCAGTGTTCATACAAGAGAATGAGGTAGGAGTACTGAAACCAGGATGCTTTCTTCTTTACCCATCTGTCTGTTTTGCTAGCCACTTACCAAGTCACAAGGTGGTAGAGTGTCCATAGGACTAGCTGCCTCTTACTTGGAATATGTGACCACTGCTTCACATCTCTGAGGCTGAGTCAGGTCTTAACTGCCAGTTTATCATTGTGTGCATGATGTGATGTGCATGTACGCATAGAACAGCAGTCTCAATTCTCCTGGCTTGTCTTCTGGTTTATTATTTGTTATTATTTCCTTACTTTTTTTTTTAATAATAGAAAAAGTTCAGGAAGAAATTGAAAGGGTCATTGGTGCTGACAGAGTCCCTTCCCTCACTGACAAGGCGCAGATGCCCTATACAGAAGCCACCATCATGGAGGTACAGAGGCTGACTGTGGTGGTGCCACTTGCTATTCCTCATATGACCTCAGAGAAAACAGGCAAGTCCAGGATCTTTCTCTTTGAATGCCCTTGAAGGAAGCTCAGCCCCTTAATCCAAGTGAATTGAAGTGACGGTGTGGTGACCATTGCCCAGATTGATCCTTCTGAGGGTTTTAACATTGTGTTGTGGATAATGAAATGTCCAGGGAATGTTTTGGCCCTCAGTTGTCTGTTATTCATGTACTGGCATTACAGCACTGCTCGTTTTATAAATAGCTCTCTAGATTTCAGAGCATGCATACTTACACTGTCAAACAAATTATGCTGCCATTTAAGATTGTTGTACTGGGTTAAAAACTCCAGAATTAACAAAAGCACCTCTCAGTCTTCTTGGACAATCACAAGAGCTTGTTTAAATATGAAATTAAGGATTTTACTTACTTGACCTTTTACAGTTCAACAACTGAAGCATAAAAATTAAAGAATTAGAAAAGCCCATCTAATTCTAAGGGCACCTGTTTCAACTTCTTGTGTACACTGAAATGTGTCCATTTTGTCATGTCTTTGACATATAAGCACCCAGACTCTATGTTAAATTAACCCTCATAAGAAGGAACTTACCTCCTCTAGGGACAGCCATGATGTAAGAGGCTTAAACATACTTATACTATAAGGAAGCAATAACTTATAAATGACATTGGATCACTTTATGATTTTTTTGGTGCATATTAGATATACTGTGTTTGCAGTATCTTTTGAGCCCTGTTTAAAGTGCATATGACCTTGTCAGCTGCTAAGAGCCAGTATAGATTTCCCTGTATGATTGACCCTTGGACAACACAGTTATAAACTATGTGGGTCCACTTATATGCAGACTTTTTTCAATAAAAATATTGGAAAAATTTTTGGAGATTTATGACAGTTTGAAAAAATTCACAGATAAACTGTGTAGCCTAGAAATATTGAAAAAATTAAGAAAAGGTATATCATGAATGCATAAAATATATATAATTTATTTTATCATCTACTACTGTAAAATATAGTTGACTCTTGAACAGCATGAGTTTGAACCATGTGGGTCCTCTTATGTGCAAATTTTTTATAGCACAGTATTGTGAATATATTTTCTCTTAGGATTTTTTAATATAAAATTTATAAGTCTTTGGAAAGTTTATCTGGAATGTCCTACGATTTCTGTTTCAGTGTTTTCTCTTAATTGTAATGTTTTTATGGTTTGATTTCACTCATTAACTCAACACCTATTAAAGCAAGTCCTATGCCTTATCTCAGGCTGGGTCCTGGGGTCGTGTGGAAAGGATACCAATTGATAGATAAGGTCAGGCCCCTACCCTCAAGCACCTCAGTGTTTAGGTAGGTAGGTATGTAACTAGATGTTTTTTTCAGATAGTGATGTTTAGAGAGAAGTGTTAGTGAGAACATGTTGAATGACACTGGATTTTGTTTTGTTTTTGCTTGTTTTAGTGCTCCAAGGATATACCATTCCTAAAGGCACAGTGATATTACCCAACCTGTGGTCAGTACACAGAGACCCAGCCGTTTGGGAGAAACCAGATGATTTCTACCCTAATCGATTTCTGGATGATCAAGGACAACTTATTAAAAAAGAAACATTTATTCCTTTTGGGATAGGTCAGTTAAACTTTTATTTTCTTAACGGCCTAATTAAAGAGGTAGAACTAAAATAATCTTTTATTATTTTATGATATTGTTTTAAAAATACTTCTTTCGGGATCCCTGGGTGGCGCAGCGGTTTGGCGCCTGCCTTTGGCCCAGGGCGCGATCCTGGAGACCCGGGATCGAATCCCACGTCGGGCTCCCGGTGCATGGAGCCTGCTTCTCCCTCTGCCTAAGTCTCTGCCTCTCTCTCTCTCTCTCTCATGACTATCATAAATAAATAAAAATTTTTTAAAAATAGCACAATATTTAAAAAAAATACTTCTTTCTTGGGGCACCTAGGTAGCTCAGTTGGTTAAGCATCCGACTCTTGATTTCGGCTCAGGTCATGTTCTCAGAGTCGTGAGATTGAGCCCCATGTTGGGCTCTGAGCTCCGCGTGGAGTCTGCTTGAGATTCTCTTTCTTCCTCCCTCTGCCCCAACCCCTACTTGTTCTCCTTCTCTCTCTCTAAATAAAATCTTTAAAAATATTTTTTTAAAGATTTTATTTTTTTTATTCATTAATGACAGAGAGAGAGAGAGAGAGTCAGAGACATAGGCAGAGGGAGAAGTAGGCTCCATGTGGGGAGCCCAACATGGGACTCGATTCGGGGTCTCCAGGATCATGCCCCAGGCCCAAGGCCGCGCCAAACCGCTGAGCCAACCGGGCTGCCCAAAATACTTCTTTCTTAGCAAGCGGATATAAGAGAAGAGGTAAATGAGATAATGCAGCTCTACTACATTCATTTTAGATTTTAAAAACAAAATGAAAGCAATTGGTTTTAAATCCTTAAATAGGAATAAAGAAGTAAATAAATAATCCTTAAATATGACTAGAAATCTTCCTTCCTGAGCTGCCCAAGTGATTGTTTGAGTCCCGGAAAACTGTTGGTATTAAAAGCAACTTGAGGGGCAGCCCCGGTGGCGCAGCGGTTTAGCGCCGCCTGCAGCCCAGGGCATGATCCTGGAGACCCTGGATCGAGTCCCACGTCGGGCTCTCTGCATGGAGCCTGCTTCTCCCTCTGCCTGTGTCTCTGTCTCTGTCTCTGTCTCTGTCTCTCTGTCTCTATGAATAAATAAATAAAATCTTTAAAAAAATAAATAAATAAAACCAACTTGAGGGCAGCCCAGGTAGCTCAGCGATTTAGTGCCGCCTTCAGCCCAGGGTGGGATCTTGGAGACTTGGGATCCAGTCCCACATCGGGCTCCCTGCATGGAGCCTGCTTCTCCCTCTGCCTGTGTCTCTGCCTCTCTCTCTCTCTCTCTCTCTCTCTGTCTCATGAATAAATAAACAAAATCTTAAAATGAATGAATGAATGAATGAATAAATAAATAAATAAATAAATAAATAAATGCAACTTGTGACCTTCTGCTGGGCTGCGGGCTAAGAGGCTGGGTTCTCTCATCTCACCAGTCACCTGGATGAGTACATGTAGGATTCTTTCTATAAAAAAGGCATGCTCCAAAGATTCTCATCTGACTCATTCTCCCTTTAATCTTCCAGTTAAGAACAAAGGAAAGAGATAAGTAGATATGGAGGAGACAGAGTAGCCTGCATCTGTCTCTAGTTCCAGTACAGAATGAGGATAGGTTTTCATGAGGAGGAGTTAAAATGTGAACTTAGTATTTAAAAATTCTCATCAGCATATACTTTGGGAAGCCATGGGGGTATATGTGGCTAATTTATTTTAAAACTCTCTATATGTGTATTCAAAACACTTTTGAGATTTCATATGAAATTGCTCTTCTTGAGATAGGAAAAGGGGTGGTATTATAACCCCAACTTTTTTTCTGATCTCATTTTTAGGGAAACGGGTGTGTATGGGAGAACAGCTGGCAAAGATGGAATTATTTCTGATGTTCGTGAGCCTAATGCAGAGTTTCACATTTGCTTTACCGAAGGATTCTAAGAAGCCCATCCTGACTGGAAGATATGGTCTAACTTTAGCCCCACATCCATTTAATATAGTCATTTCAAAGAGATAAAGAACATGTCCGAGAAGAGAATGTAAATACATTTCCTTCCTAAACAGATTCTTCCTTCCGCATTGACAGCAGACCCAGTAATGCAGTAGATCCAGATTAGGCTCAGATGAGAGGAAGACTGGAAAGTGAGTAGAGCTTGCATCTTGGAAGATTCCTCAGAGGACACTTCTGTCATTTTAGTAATGCACGTCTGTGACTTAGGAGATGGGGACCAAAGTGCTGGATGGGAAGCGGGAGATCTGGCTTTTATCCCCAGTGGCTCCCACCAGTGAACATTTCTTCTCATCACTCAGTGCCTCAGTCATTCCATAAAATGAGGTTAAGAAATGTGCCTTCTTTCCATCTCTCAGCACTAAGGAAGGTCAAATGCCTCATATCTTTTCTGATATCACCAAAACACTTGTTAAGTACCGGAGAACAAATTCAGAAGTAGTAGGAAGACCTGCCAATTTAAGACCTGTGACAGCATGAAAGTGGTATTTGTACTTGAATATTTTGTCAGGGAAGGATGTGGGTTTAAGTCATGATGAGTTAGAGCTCTTCTTGGCACAGACCCTATGTCTGTTTTGGGAGATGGGAGGCTTGTTTTGTTACCATTATCTATTCATTGGTGATTTCGTTTTTTCACATTTTGTAGAAATGGACTCAAGTCCCCTTGTCTGGTATGCAGAGGAAAGGCTGTTGTTTGAATTTTTATGTCTACCTTCTGTTTCAACTACAGGAACAGTGAGCCTGGCTGAAGGAGTGGCTTCACGGCAGAGTTTCTTTCTGCTGGGTTACTCACAGAGATGTAGCTCTACCTTTTGACTTGAGCCCCAAATAGTGAGGTTGGGAATTCTGATACTGAGATTGATCAGGGAAGGATTCAAACTGTGAACCACTTGTCTGTGCTGCCGCTACGTGATCCCATGAGCGTCTACTCTGTGTTTTCAATACAGATAGATGAAGTACAGGCAAATCTCTAGGTGCCTTGAGGATTTTTGTCAATTAAAAAAAAAAAACAACAAAAAACAAAAACGAATAAGCTAAGTGCCCAGGAATTGTGAGTGAATGGAACAGTTGTCATATAGATTTTTAATGAGATGATGCAAGTGTGGTTCCATTGCATTTTGAACAGGATGTTTGTTCCTCATCTGGAATTTTACATGCTTTTGAATTGCACTAATAATTTGGCATGAATAAGTTTATTACTCCTTAATTTATATATACATTTTCAACATTCCTAACCAAACAGCTTGTAGCTTACTGGAAAAAAAAAAAAACTATTCTGTGAGATTATATTGAAATCAGATGTTCATTAAACTTTTAAATATAATGCCTCCAACTGTAGCATTTTAAAAACCTCTTTATATGGTAAGTCATTGAAAAAACTATTAATGCAATTTTCTATTTTATGATTTATTTGAAGTGTAAAAACCAGAAGTACCTTATTTTATATATCTTTCTAATACCTAATTTTTAATCCTTATCTTTAACATAATTTCTGGTGCTTTTATTAAACTTTTAGTTTTAACCAAAATAGTATCACGTCTGGTTTTTTATTTTAACTGCTAAACAAAATTTGTTTTATTTCTTATTTTTTTAAGATTTTTATTTCTTTATTCATGAGAGACATAGAGAGGCAGAGACACAGGCAGAGGGAGAAGCAGGCTCCATGCAAGGAGCCTGATGTGGGACTCAATCCCAGAACCCCAGGATCACCCCCTGAGCCAAAGGCAAATGCTCAATGGCTGAGCCACCCAGGTGTCCCACAAAATTGTTTCTCTACTACATGTCAAATTAGGAAATGTAAGAGGGAGCAGACCTCCAGAGAGAGAGAGAGAGAGAGAGAGAGAGAGAGAGAGAGAGAGATGGCTACAATGTAACAGAAACATGGCTTTAGATTGGAGGATAATTCTTTGAAAATATCCCCTCAGGGATGCATGAGTGGCTCAGTTGGTTAAGTTTAAGCAGTTGCCTTGGGCTCAGGTCATGATTCCAGGGTCCTGATATGGAGCCCCACATCCGGCTCCCTGCTCGGTGGGGAGCCTGCTTCTCCCTCTCCCTCTGCTGCTCCCCCTGCTTCTGCTTGTGTGCTCTCTCTCTCTCTCTCTCTCTCTCTCTGTCAAATAAATAAATAAAAAGTAATAATAAAATAAAATATCCCCTCAGAGCAGTTACTCTCAGGACTATGTCACAGTTCACATTTCTGATTTCCCACACCCAAATCCAGCATTATTTGAGGGAGGGATGAATGGACATAAGCCCAGTGTGGCAAAGGAGTGGCTTCTGTCTCCCTTACCCTACTCAGCTCCAGGAGAACAGTTTTTTTAAATGCCTCAGCCTGCGGATTTTGCTTACAGATGAGCCCCCTGCTGGCTTTTTCCATGTCCCACTCTTCCTCCTGCCATCACAGCTCAGAGGTCATCTCTGATCTAAAGTGGCCTTACTGGAGAACTTCCTGCTGTAGACTAAATGTTTGTGCCCCCTTCTCCCCCTCCTCCCCCCAGTTCGCTTAGTGAAACCTAATCCCAATGTGATGGTCTGTGGAGTGGGACCTCAAGGAGGTGATGAGGTCATGAGGTGCAGCCCTTATGAAGGGATTAGTGTCCTTATGAAAGATGAAAGAGGCTTCTGAGAGCTCCCTTGCCCATCCGCCATTTGAGGAGCTATGTGAAGACAGCTGTCACAGAACCGGGGAGAAGGCTCGCAGCAGATCCTGAATCTGCCCCCATCTTGGACTTGCAGCCTCCAGAACTGTAAGAAATACGTACCGTTATTTATAGCATAGCCAGGCTGGTATTTTTGTTCTAGCAGCCCACAGAAGGCTCCCAAATCTCATCACCCAGTTACTCCTAGCCCTCCTTACTATTTATGGTTACTCCATTTATTTAAACCCTCAGCTCCTACAATCTGTGACACCTCTGCCAGTTTAAAAACCTTGATGCACAAGTTTTTAATTTTGATGAAGTCCAATGTGTTATCTATTTTTTCTTTTGTTGCCTGTGCCTGTGTCCTATCAAGAAATCATGGCCAAATCCAGTGTCATGAAATTCTCCCCGTTTTCTTCTAGGAATGTTACAGTTTGAGCTTTTTTGTTTAGGTCTTTGATCCGTCTTGAGCCGATTTTTGTATGTGGTTAAGGTAAAGTCTAACTTCATTCTTTTGCATGTGGTGACACAATGTCCCCAGCACCATTTGTTGAAGAGGCTATCTTTTACTTACTGAATGGTCTTGGTACCCTTGTCGAAAATTATTTGACCACATATACAAGCTTTTTATTTCCAGATCAATACTATCTTCTGAAATATAAATTACTAAGGGTGCCTGAGTGGTTCAGTTGGTTAAGAGTCTAACTTTAGCTCAACTCATGATCTCTGTGTCCTGGGATCAACCCCCAAAGGCTCTACTCAGTGGGGGATCTGCTTCTCCCTCTACCTCTTCCCCGGCTCCTGTTCTCTCTTTCTGTCTCAAATAAATAAAACCTTAAAAAATATAATAAATCAGCAGTTTTATACTAACATCAGAATATTCAGATTAATCAGAATAGAGATAATAAACCCATATCCTCTAGTATAAAAGTGGCATCATGCCATGAAGTAACAGGAAATAATATTTTAAAAAGTGCTAAAACAATTGTTTAATTATTTAGAAAATTAAAATAACACATTTTTGGGTGCTTGGGGTGCATCTGTCTTCAGCTCAGGTGGTGATCTCAGGGTCCTGGGATCATGCAAGTCCTGCATCCAACTCCCTGCTCAGCGAGGAGCTTGCTTCTCCCTCTCCCTTTGCCTCCCCCCCCCCCCACTGGTTTTGCACTCTCTCTCACCCAAGTAAAATCTTTAAAAAGATGAGAACAGCTTGGAGGCTGATTACATAAAAATTTTAAAAAATAAACACATTTTATTTTTTCATTTACTGAAATCTAGAGTTAGTTCTAAAAAATAGAACTAATATTATATGTATGAATATATATATGTAAGCATCTATGAAACATTTGATATAGGAATGGGAATTACTTTTCTGAGCATAAAAAAGTAATAGATTCAATCACAAATATAAAGCACAATGGATTTGCCGACATAAAAACAGAAAACTCCCATATTCTAAAATGACAGTTGGCAAATAATGAAAAATAATTATGCCAGTCTTGACAAAAATTTTATATTCTTGCTTATAATTCAGCCAGTAGAACACCTAATTTTAAAAATAGGTGGGGGCTTCCTGGCTAAGTTGGTAGATAGAGCATGCGACTCTTGATCTCAGCCTACTGAAAAAATAAATAAAATGTGAAAGAATGTTTAAATTCATTGAAAATGCAAGTAAAACAGTAAGATACCATTTTTTACCCATTATGTTTTAAAGATGTATCTTAAAAGGAAAATACTAAATATTGATGAGGGAGAAGCATTCATACACTGCTGCTGGCAATTTAGACTGAAGCTACATTTCTGGAGAAAATTTTAAGAATATGCATGAAGGTTTTTAAAGTATTTGTTCCTAAATGTAGACTCGTATCCTACATTGAATTCTGGAATAGAATAATATATTAACGGATAAACCTGAGAATCCCAGTGAAGTCTGGAGTTTAGTTTCTAGCATTGTCTTCAGTGTTAATGTCTTCATTTTTGACAAGTGTACTTTGGTTACATAAGATGTCAAAATTAGGGGAAACTGGGTGAAGGGAATACGTGAACTCTCAGAACCATCTTTGCAACTCTTCTGTAGATCAAAACTCATTACTCCCAGAAGTTTTCTTAAGTAAGTATTCATACCATTTGTCTCAATCAATTCTACTTCTAAGATATAACTATGGGTAATAATGAGATAAAAATAGTTTTGGATAAGTTATTCATTATTCATTGCAGTGATATATTTGATAGCAAAAGAGAAAAAAGGAAAGACAAGAAAGACAAGCAATCCAAATGCTCAACATTAAGGGCAATGTAATAGCCATACTCATTCATGCATAAAATAATTATGAGACTCACTCTAGATATTGGGGCATAGAAGCAACCAAAACAAAGATCTCTGATGTGAAAGAGCTTAATTTCCAAAAGAGAAAAAAATGACAGTGAATAAGTAAATAAGATGTGTGGCATATTTAGTCATAAATGTTAAAGACCAAACTAAAACCAGGGAAAGGATGCAAAATGCCAGGGAGAGGTTGCACTTTTAGGTACAGAGGACAGAGAAAGCCCCCATGGGAAGCTGATATTTGAGTGAAGACCCAGGAGAAGCAAAGAGCAAGCCCTGGGGACATCTAGACAGGAGGAACAGCAAGGCCACAGGCCTTAATGCAGGGGTGTGTCTGAAATGTTGGAGGAATGGGACAAGAAAGAATGGTAGCAGGAGAGGAAATGATAAAGTTGGAGGAAAGGGCAGATGATAGAGACGATGGCTCAATCTGAGATGGGGACCATGAAGCGTTTTGAATAGAGAAGGGACATGACATGACTTAAAATGGAATGGATTCTCTCTGGCTACTGTGTTAAGAATGATCAGAATAGGGCAGTCTGGGTGGCTCAGTGGTTTAGCACCACCTTCAGCCCAGGGCGTGATCCTGGGGACCCTGGATCGAGTCCCACGTCGGGCTCCCTGCATGGAGCCTGCTTCTACCTCTGCCTGTGTCTCAGCCTCTCTCTGTCTCTCGTGGATAAATAAATAAAATCTTAGGGCAGCCCCAGTGGCTCAGCGGTTTAGCGCCCCCTTCAGCCCAGGGCCTGATCCTGGAGACCTGGAATGGAGTCCCGTGTCAGGCTCCCTACATGGAGCCTGCGTCTCCCTCTGCCTGTGTCTCTGCCTCTCTCTCTCTGTGTCTCTCATAAATAAATAAAGTATCTTTTTTTAAAGACCATTTCTCTGGGGGCCTGAGATTAGCTTAATATCATTTAGCCATGTGAGTGGTAAATTCTTTCTGCTCTGTTAATAAGACATGTAATTGTATAGAAAACAGTAAGGCTTGGCTTCTTTCAGGAATCATCCCATGATGCATGCAGAGGTAAGTTGTAGACGAAAACTTCTAAGGGACCAGAACTAAAGCTGGTGGGGAGAGTGAGCATACCTGGGTGGAAAGCCAGATGTAGAGGGGAGGTGGGGACAAGGGCCATGGCACATTTCGATGCAAGTGCCAGGAACTGACCATAGGATCTCTCTGGGCCTCAGTTTCCAGATCTCTTAGAACTCTGCACAGCTTTCTTTCTTTCTTTCTTTCTTTCTTTCTTTCTTTCTTTCTTTCTTTCTTATTCTAATTTATTTATTCATTCATTCATTCATGAGAGACATACAGAGAGAGAGGCAGAGGGAGAAGCAGGCTCCATGTAGGGAGCCTGATGCGGGCCTTGATCCCGGACCTGGATCCCGGGCCCCCAGGACCACGCCCTGGGCCAAAGGCAGGTGCTGAGCCACCAGGGATCCCCTCTGCACAGCTTGCTAATGCCACCCCCCTAGCCTTCCGCACTGAGCATCTTGGCTGTGTCCATGCACTCTTAACCTAATATCCTGTCCACCCTCAAGTAGGGAGGCG